AGGCATGAAGTAACTGGATCCACTGCACTGGACTCTCCTCTGGCCTTGAAAAAGAGAGAAAAGGTTCCTTTGCAATATGGAAATCACAGCCGAGAGTGACACTCAGTTCTTCTTCCAGTTCCTCCTAGCCGCCCAACTCCCTGCAACATGTGGAGGCCTCTCTCGTCGGCGATTGCCATCTTGGTAGTGGAAGAAAATGATGGATTTAAATGAAAGAGCGAGAAAAGAGAGGAAAATGGTGGATGAGAGGCGGATACGAGATTAGGGCTAACGTTGATTGGGCTAAATAATGGACTTAACTTTTCGCAACGTTTAAAAAAACGTTGCAAAAAGTCACATTTCGCAACGTTTTTTAAACGTTGCGAAATAGTGAGACTTTTCACAACATTCAATAAACGTTGCGAAAAGTCACTTTTTGCAACGTTCATTTAAAAAATATTGCCAGACTTCTTTAGTAACATTCACTCACCCAAACGTTGCAATAGTACTCCTTTAGCAACATTTAATGAATGAATGTTGCCTTTTAAATGTTACAAAAACCCATTTTTATTGTAGTGATTTAATCTCTCTATTGCTTCTAACTGAATACGAAGTGATGGCAGCCTTCAACGAAGCCTTGGACTCAAATACCAACCCTAACAATTAGAAAACGGAATATCAGTCCTTGAATTGAAAGGTTAATAGTAAGTATAATGCAAGGTTAATAGTAAGTATAATGTAAGGTTAATAGAAGTTGTATCATCAACATCTGTACTATCAATGCTTCGCAACTCATCCGAGTCCCCGTAGTCGGTATCTGAACCCCTATCCTGATGCTCATTCGCCACACCGAATCCAAAATCAAAATTAACCCTTTCATTCTCGACTTAAACATTTCCCGCCGGCTGATCCGTAGTCTCGTAATCAGATTCTACCAATCCTTCAACCTCATCTTTCCTACTTTCCTCATTGTTATGAGCTTCAACCTCGACTTCATCATCTTCAACACCCATATCACCCACACCTTCAACACCCATATCACCACCCATATCACCCATATCTTCAACACCCATATCAAAAAATCATCTGACCAATCAATTTCAGGCTCTCCACCCTTGTTCTCTTCCACATAAGGTATGTAAGAACCTTCAAATTTTGTGGTTTATTGCATTGAGTGTCAACCTCGGAGATCGATGCATACAATGGCAATGCATGCAATTGCGATGGGGCTACAACATATATCTGCACTGTTGGATGCCCATTTCTATCCTTAAGCATTTCTTTGATATCATTCTTACTCTCTAATCTCCTCAACCCCTGCCCTAAACTCATTCTTCGTTTTTTGTAGTAAAACTCCAACTTCATATCATGACCAATGAGGTTCAAGAACTTCATCAAGTTAGATTTAGTAAACAATGAGGCGTGGAAGAAATCAAAGAAAATCACTAAACCGTGTTCGTATGTCAAATTGTTTGGCTTGACATAGAAATTGCCTCCATGATGCAATTCAATAGTAAAGTAGCCATAATTTGCAACTGCATGCAAAAAAAATTTGGAGATGAGGGAATGAACAGTGAAATGTGGTATGTAAACAACGTAATGTACACTGATCGAATCCTGGAAATAATGGAATGCACATCACACAATGATCAAAACCCAACCAGAACCACGTAAATTTCAAGTCTCAGCCACTGTCATGCAAATTTCAGATGAATATCTACAAACCCCCAAAAATAATCCTCACAGTGTTGAAGGTGTTTCCCCAAACCCATTTTAGTAGAGTTCCAAAGTGTAATTTGAAAGAAAATCAAACGGAGAAGGCATTTTCATTCGACAAATGGAGGAGGTATTTTCGTTTATACCGTATTGTGGTGTACCGTCGTCGGGTTCTCTGATAAACGGAGGAGGCATTTTCATTCTACAAAATTTCCTGTAAAAAACAAGAATATAATCCATCAAAAATAGCAAGTAAGCCTCGACTACTCAAATTTTGAAATTTCGAACTGAGAAATCAAAAAAATAATGCACGAACAGTGAACTTTACCTTTTCTCAGTTCGTCGTCCACTGTGCGCATATACTACCCTCCTANNNACTGTGCGCATATACTACCCTCCTACGGAAGGAGATATTTTGGGTTGATTCGAGAAGATGATGACGAAAGTAGGTGCTCGAAGGGACGTGAACACTGGAGAAGAATGGAATGGAATGGAAGATCAATCGTACGTGTTATGGGAAAAGAAGAGGTTTGTGAAGTGGCCTGACCATCTTACCCTTGGAGTTTCAAATTAAAAGGAGTCCAGGTAAGCATTTAACGGGAAATCTCACGGTATATGGATGGAAGGACGTTTTCCACACTGAAAAGTTGAAATAAGGGCAAAAATGTAAAAAAATGAAACGTAGAGATGATTTGCACACTAACTGTGAAACGTAGGGACGTTTTGTGCTAATAAGCACAGAAAAATAGAAAAGATGGGATAATGCACAAGTAGCCATACTACAAGTAAAAAATGCAGGAAAGATCGAAAAGAAAAATGAATAACCTCTTGGCTTCTTGAATAGTTCTTCAATAACCTTATAAGAGTTTCAGCTCCAAGGTATCACTTGTTTGGAGAATATTATTTGCTTTTCCAGTTTGAACGTTCTTTCCTGACTTCAAACTGGTTTCCACCCAAGGTTAGATTCGTGCTCTTGTGTGCTATATTTAAAAGCACCTATAGGTAATTCATCTGTAAGATACTTGAGCCACTTTTTAGTTGTTTCTCTTGCGGCTAAATCCATTTGATTGGACCAGCTTTTTGAATTATTTCCTTTTTTCAACTGTCTTTTAGATTTTCTCTTGTTTACTATGTGAAAGTTACGCAGTTCGACCCTAACAATACCTAGAGGGAGGTGAATAGGTATATTATGCCGAATTAAAAATATTTTTATGAATTAAATAACAAGAAGTCACTTTTTAATTCTTTTCTAGATGATTAAACATGCAAGTCATTTTAGTCCTAAGTTTGAATACCACAGTTTATATGATTAATCAATAAACAATAACAAAATTAGTAAATCAACACCAGGATGATCACAGAGAAACCCAACTAGAAAAAACTCCGGGCACTTTGCTAGACAATTCACTATAAACAATTCTAACAACTTACAGTCTATCAGACTAGAAGAACCGTACTATTTGATCTCTCGCCTGCACTTCTTACAGCTCTCCCTAGATCTCGTACTCCCCTACACCAATCCTTAGCTACTGT